GGTAAAAGGTAAAGGTTCCCCTTGCACATATGTGCTAGTTGTTCCTGACTCTAGGAGGTGGTACTCATCTCCGTTTCTAAGCCGAAGAGCCAGCACTGTCTGAAAACGTCTCCATGGTCATGTGGCTGGCATGATTAAACACAGAAGGTGCATGGAAAGCTATTATTTTCCCACCAAAGGTGGTTCCTATTTTTCTACTTGCATTTTTTATGTGCTTTCGAACTGCTAGGTTGGCAAAAGCTGGGACAAGTAATGGGAGCTCACTCCATTACACAGTACTAGGGAATTGAACCACCGATCGTTCTGATAGACAAGCTCAGCGTCTTAGCCACTGAGCCACCACTGTCCCACTAAAATCACAATTAGATAGGTTCAAAAAAACACTCAGCCATAAACCATGATTTGTAAACTACAGGGGCAAAACACAATGTAAGGCCCAGTGTGTGGGTGTGGGTGCGTTTGTGGGTGGGTGTGGGTGTGCACACTACACAGTCCCTCACAAAACATGAACCCAGGGAGACTGTCAATTAAGAAAGATCCAGTCGAGCTCTTCCTCCTCCATCAAGTGACCCTGAACCTCAAAGGAGCTGAGATGGTCACCAAAGGTTCACTCACCCATTGGTGGAGTAGCCAGTGTTTGTCGCCCTACAATTTGCGCTGGTCCCAGACCATCTAGGAAGTCACTGAACTGGCTTTCAACTCCCAGCTTGGTTGTAGGGAAAATAAATCTGAAGGAAAGGGTAAGAAAGACAGTGTGTGAGAAAATGAAGACACAGCCTGAAAGAACATGCAGAAAAGAGATTCATCCTTCTCCACCTAACATTTTGTCCCAGAGCAATCTTCCTGCCTTCACATGAGAAGGGCCAATAAAGCACCTGAAAGACATTTCAGGATTGGGGGGGGGGGAATCCTATCTATCAGCTAATATTAGCAGGACATTTTCCTTTAAAAAAAAATTGAACACTTGTTTTTGTATTCTCTGTGTAACGTCTACTCTTTATTCAATGCTTGCATTAACCAACAGCAGGACTTACGTGCCATCAGAGCTGTTGCTGTTAGTACTTCCATCAGTTGACTCTCGACTGCCTTGACGGGTGACCCTGTTTCTCATCTCCACGGCAATCCCAGTTTCGGTGCTGCGACGGATATTACTTCGAAGTTTCTTTAAGCCACCATCTGGGGAGGGAGGGAGAGAGAAATCACATAAATAAAAGGTGAGGCAGTCCAGGGGAATCATCTCACAGCCAGGAAAGGATAGGACTTGTCCTACAATACATCCAGGGAGATCCATGCTGATCCTGGTTTGTTTCTTGAGCGGGAGTGTTGATGTTGGACTAGATGATCTATAAGGTCCCTTCCAACTCTGTTAATCTGTTAACAATCCATTTATAAGAGATGTTTGAAAAAAAGAACATTCTGACACTAAAGTGAACAGACTTTGCCATAAAAATAGCAATGGAAGTCAATCATCATTATCATCCCTATGTTTCAGCTTGTGGTAAAGTAAAGTGCAACTTACTCAGTTTACATAAGTAGCAAATTAAAATGCAACCAATGAAAAAAGACCATGGGTCTGTCATATGATCCAGCAAAGTTGCAAACTCTTTCTGACCACCAATCAGAATGAAACAGGTCACATACTGCCACCTGGTGATCAAGGGACCTGATGCCCCCAAGTAGACCATCCTACTCACACACCCCACACGTAAAACCAATACCACTTCAAAGCCTATTGACTGAGTTTTTCAGGTTCATATAGTACGTTCTCCTCCTGGCTCACAGCTCCACTGTCTTCACACAGGTGTGCCTACAGAAAAATCCCTTCTCTTCTGCCTATTGAGGGA